AAGAGCTGCTGGGTATCACACCGACTGTGAAATAAAACTGCTAGGGCCGTTCTGACACGTTTCCGGCTTCTATGGCTGTGTATTCTCTGAAAAGCCAGTGGGACTGCAGGTAGGAAAGCAGAAATTCAAAACAGCATGCCTGAGTAAAAATTGTATTTCTCACTAAACTCTTTTTAGCAAGAATAAAGAAAAAGCAAGCCTATAATAAAAGGCAGAGGGGAAACAGTATAAGAAATTTAACATAAAGAGGAAAAAATAAGCCTGCAAGCTTCCATTTTAAAATAAACCAAATAAGAATATCCTTCTACCTATCGTCAGAATTTTGGATATGAACCAAATTAGTCCCAAAATATCTCTTGCCTTACCCCACCTGTCTTGGCAAAATGAGAATCTGCTGAAAATTATTCTAAACAGATGGAAGGATAAACATAATACCTTTAGTTACTTGATGTGAAGACAGTCACTTCACAGCCAGTTCCCTATAAAAATATTTTATAGCAGGAATCTAAAAGGATTTAGTTTAATGGACGGTGCAGTAAATATGCATGTAATTTTAATTTCAAAGTATGTGAGGTAAAACAAATCTTGTAAGATTTGCCATAATGCACAGCCAAATTGTGTGCAGTTGAAGGGGATAAAAAGTTCAGAAAAATGTCACAGAAAAAGAATTAAAAAATATAGGACGCTCCAACCACACAGAAACAATAAACTAGGAAAAAGAAAATCAACCTTGACCAAAACTAAGCATATTTTTTTGTGTATGCAAGACTCTACTTCTCTTCTTTCCCTTGCCTAAGTTATGATTTCGTATTTATATTTGGTCTAACATTCCACAGAAGCAGCATAACTGTAAGCAGTGAGGCTGAATTGTGAAGGCCAGATGTAAACTCCTTCAGTCTAAACACGTTCAGTCTATTTAAGCATAATAAAGTGTATGCTGTTTTCAGAAGTGATCTTAATAGCCTCTTGTCCAGGGGTTCCAGAATTGGGTTTGAGTTGCAGCATACTCCAAGTATTACGCAACATGGGGTCTGACAGCCAAATACCTTTCCCTGGCCACACAGCCAGCCAGCAGGGCCAGAGAGTCGCTCAGAGCAGCCAGAAGAAAGTCTTCCTCCCTCCCTTGCTCCTGACCAAAACATACCTGCCCCTTCCTTCACACATAATTCTGGCACTTGTCTGAACACCTGGCAAGCTGATTTAGATTGCTAAACTGATAGAAAACTGGTGGAGGGTGGGGAGAAAAAGTGGACAATTTTCTGGTGGGTTAACGTATTGCATTGGTTTATCATGCAGTCAGATGATAGCTGAGGAAGAGTAGGATATGTCACTTTCTACAGTAAATCCATCATCTACCACCTTTAAATTTGGGAAAGCTTGTTCCAGACCATTTTTGCCCTAAAAACAACATGTTCATAATATTATAATTTAATAGTATAGAGTGAAAAAAATAGTGGAAAATCTAGTACAAGCCAACTGCACTTGGTCACAACATAGAGAATGCTTGTAATTAAAAGATGGAGGTAATTAGATTTTATTTCCCTAATATTTTGAACCCCATTTAGTCTGAAGAGATTGACAAAGGTGACATTTTATAAAGGATGCATTAATGCCACATTTTTAAGAGTTATCTTACTGTGTATTTTTATCCAGAGAGGAAATCCTTTTTTATGACATCCTTTTCAACTGTGCTCATCTGAAGCCACAGAAATCAACATGTACAGCCAGTCTATCCAACCATGACAAACGGGTTAGCATGCTGCAAATCAACAAAAACACATTTGGATGATGCACTACTTGGAGCAGACTGCTCATTTGCATATAAATATCTCTAATTTCAAGATATGTAACATTTTTGTACTTCATGAACACATCTTATTCTTCACGACATTTCTGAACTGAAAGTTTGATATTTCTTCTCTTCTTGAAATAGCAAAAATCACTTCCAACCTATAGTTTTACTCTCCAGTAATTAATGGAAGCACATTGTGGTGCCATTTCTATGCAAGTCACATGTGGTAAGAAGAAAGAGGCCTAACAATAGTTATGTTCTTCCACTTCCCTTCCTCAGAAGCATCAGAGCAAGGAATTTCTACCCACATCCATGTCTTGTCTACTCTCACATAGCCACTTACTCACTGAAATAGCGTTTCTTCCTTTTTGCATCAGACTATTTAAGTTTCAGATATTCCTAGTAGACATTCTGCGCTTGAATGAGAGTCTACTGTCAACACCAAGAAATCTGGATCAGGAATAACACAAGCTTTGCTCTTCCTAAGCACAGTTTAAATCCCCTCAATCATTATTTAAAATGATCTGGTAGAATACACCCATGCAATTCCAGAGATGTGATGATTCAACCAATAGTTTTGTATGATTAATGCATGTTAACTACTGCACACAGATGCTACATATTTGTGCAAAGAAACTATATTCAGAGAAAAGGGATTTTATACCTGTGATCTTTTTTTAAGGTAGTACCAGTTTGATGTTATTACTAAAATCCTTTCAAAAACAGCACTAAAATTATTTCTTATTTTTTAATTCCTGAACAGAAAGAACGGGAAAAGGGGTCTAATCTGGCATTTATGTTTCGACTACCCTTTGCTGCTGGCAGGGTTTTCAGCATCAGTATGTTGGACACGCTGCTTTATCAGGTACTGTGAATAACAATGTGCCTCGTCTTAACACAGACATGTATTGTCATCGCCTATTTCCTATTTGCACTTTGTTAGATGACCCTGTCAGTTTTCCTGTAGGTAAGGCATTAATGTGCATGCCTGTGCCAGAAACAGGGGCAAAATATCATAGAGCATGCTCTGCATGGCAGTGCTAGGTCAGTCATCAACCCCAAATTACCCTCTCCTGTAACTAACACCTGCTTTTAAACAATACTGTTTGTGAAGCTCTCCATAGTCAGGTAAAAGGGATACTTCTGATATGGACTGGATAAATCAACTGAAGTGTTTGCATGAGTAATTCATCAGCCACCTGCATTTGCTGATACAGGACTCCGTTACTTCACTGTGCCCTGTTCTCTGGCTCATGTTGACTAGACCAGTCTTCATACATTAAAGTAACCCCATTCTGGTCCTAACAAGCAATAAATACTGTGGTTACAAAAAGGTGATGGTGAAGAAAGGCAGCGCTGAACTTTGCTGCCTCAAGAATCCAAGACTAAGCTGCTCACCTGAAAAGAAGTGAGGGCAAGTCAGTGCTGATAAGGGAAGGGCAACTGCCCCAGGCTGCTGGGGAAAACAATCAATCAAACAACAGAAGGTTGAGACAAATAAAAGTAACAGTTGCTGGTTTTAGGGTGGAAAGAAGAGAATACCCTTCTCCTCCAGCACTTTTCCACACACCCCGAGGCATCCAGCTGCCCAAGCAGCAGCGCCCACTGCTCGCCTTCAAGGCTCTGGATATGCAAAGTAAGCAGACGGTCTGCTCACCTAACCAGCTTCCTGCTCCACCTATGCCTAGACATTGCCTGTGGATGGATTTGTAGTTAGATGCTAAACACCCTTTCAGGGAAATTTGTTTACTTTGAAGTTTGGTGCTTTAAAATGTTCAATTCTACTTAAAAATAAATTCCCTGAAGGAAATGTCAAGGTACAGAGAAAAGCTGGAGCTAAGCTTTTCTCACAGATTCATTAATATATATGAATGAGGCATGTATATGAATGGCTACCAGAAAATGAAGGTAAGCCAACAGATGCAGAGCCCTTTAACAAATTCTAGATATTTTAGAAATAAATGTATTTGCTCATGAAGCATTTTTTTTAAATGCAGACTATCAACACTAAATATGGCACTATTTCAAACCAGTACATACATAACTTCAGTATTTTATGTTTGTTCCAAGCCACGATCAGTCATACTATGACTTGACAGAGTGAAACCATTCACCAGGAAGTATTTAAAAAAAAAAAAGTTTTGTTTAAAACAAAACAAACCTCTCACTGTTCCTCACATTCCAACCTTTCTTTGAACTCTTACTGCTCAGGATTCTCATTTTTCTAGAATTATCTTTCATATTTCAAGTCATAAATACTATAATAGCAAGCTCTCACTGGTTTTCTTCTCGGTCCTGTACTTTTCTAAATGACGGCTTTTTCTTCTGCATAGAAGGAACAAAGGGAATCATCATGGGAACCAGTGAGGTTCCCATAAGACGACTCCTATTTTAGGCCAAAAGAAAAGCCTTTAAGATATCTGTAGCTCAGCAACTAAAGAATGAAACGCTGGTCATGCAAATCCCTTAGAATACACTTGGCAGCCTAATGATAATTCTGTAGCGTAAATGATACAGCCAAGATAACACATAATGAAACACATGACAGCTGTCCTCTTCTTAACAAGATTCCATTCAGTCCTGGAAAATTAAACACTTTATACACCCAGCTCTGGAGACATGTTTATCCCTAATCAGTTGGCTGAAATACAGCATAAATGCAGGTAGTACATATTTATGAGTTTAAGGTAGGGTTCAGAATAGCAGGAGTTACTACAGCTCAGCTGGGCAGAACTGCAGAAGTTGATGTGCATATGCTTAACCCATGGAAAATGATAGGCAGCAACATGTCAGTGAAGTCTTCAAGGGACAGGGGGTTATACTAATGCCTTTTACCTTAGCAACTGGCAACGTTTAGGAGCATATATTTTAATTAGTTAGTACAGCTGAACTCATTCTTTTTTGGTTCATCTTGTCAGACAAAGAAACGTTTAAACTAAAAGATGGGCGACTACACTGCCTTTTGTATTAGTTTGATTCAGATAGTTGAAACACCATGTATCAAATTAAATCAGTCCAACTTCAGAGTTTAAACAAATTCAGATGTTATAACTCTTTAGAAAGGACTTATGTAACACCTTCATGAGATGTTACATTCCTTTATTAAATGGTATTTGCTAGCTCCATGTTTGCACTGAGCCAAAGCCACTAGTTGCAAGTAAAGTCATAGCCCAGAGATGATCAACGACCTGCCTTAAATGCTGCCCCGCTACACATAGGAAGAGGTGGCAATGAACAGCCCTCCTGCAGTTAGCAGAGCACGCATATGGTCCTCTGATCCCAGGAGCCCCGCTAATAGGGAAGAGGAACATCCATGATTTTAGCATGTTTATCCAATGTCTATCTTTGGCCTTAGACTGCACTCTTATATTTAATTTGGTTAGTCATCTTTAATTTCTACCTTTTAACCACTCAGCAAAACCCCTCTGTCAGCAGATCAGCAAGCCTGACCTGAAATAAGGCAGATCTACCCTAAAACCCAGGTGGAGTGGCTAAGGCAAGCTACTCCAGTTGGGATTAAAATAATAACAGTGTTAAGTATCCACTACTCAGTGCTGCAGCTCCATATAATTTTAAGATAACATTTCTTTTGCACAGAAGATAGGCATGTTAAGTGTGAAAATATAATAATTAACTAACACCTTACTTCTATTGATTCATCTTTGTCAGTTTTCATGCTGCTATAAAAATCCTTATTATGCCTTAGTCTCTCCAAGTCCTGTGTGAGCGTTACATGCACATGCAGAACTAAATAAGAAAACTTATTCTCTGTCAGTAGATTGAGCACGCAAAGAAATAGCTATTTCTACAATGCTATTAACTTACTTAAAACAAAAAGACCGATTGCAAATACGTATGCACAATTTCTTTGCAATTCACACAGTGCTTATGGTTATCTGTGCATTAAAAATTTTCTTTCTTCTCTCTTTTTAAAAACCTTGCAGTCATTTGTGAAAGATTATATGATCTCTATCACACGACTACTGCTGGGACTTGATACCACACCAGGATCTGGGTTTCTTTGTTCTGTAAGTTAATATAAATAAATAAAATCAGATTATTAGAAAATACCGGAGAAGATTCTGTACTGTCTGCAGAACACCACTACTTTCTTTGTAGAGAAAGAAGTTTTCTTCATACAGTGGTTTCTCTTATGAAAGTCCAAGAAAGACCATCTGTTTCCCTTTTCATCAGAGAAGAAATCATGAAAATTAGGTAGAAAACTTGCTGATTTTAATTACTTCCAAAGCAAAAAACAATCCTCATCCTCACAGCAAGTAAAAAATCCAATACATTCTATAAGGTGCAAAGGAAAGTAGCAAAGAGAGGAAAAATAGGAAAAGTGTAAGTTACTTTATATGAAATATAAAATATAATATTTTATATGAAACAATTGCAGTTTGGCAACCAAGTATTAGAAAACAGGAAGTATTAACTAAATTATAAAGCCAGCTAGCACTTACTACCTAAGCTATTCCACTGCACTAGTTTTCAGCAGACATAGTAAAGGACAGGATTGGATATTATATAAAGGTGTGTATGCTAGATAAATTTTATTTAGAAGTCAAAGTTCCAAAGTTATCTTGTTATGTATGTCCGTATTCCCCAATGCAGTGCCAAATATATTTTTAAGTGGGTTAATACACCCACCTTTCCTTTTCTCCCATAACTATGACCCCAGGTAGCAACCAGAAGTCATTTACCAGTTGCCTTCTGGAAAAGTATAAAGAGTTTGCAAGATGTTGCTCCTCTCAAAAAGGAAGTTTTTTCCTGCTCTGATCAATGCTGGTTTAAGAAGTATTTAAAAATACCCATCACTTAAGTATTTGTTGGTCAGTCATTAAATTGTTGTTACAGCGAAACGCAAGATAGTTGAATTTCTGTCAGGGGCCCACACATGTCTTGCCATACAGCTAGTGCGATAGTCATGGAACATTTGAGATTAACACCACTAAGCATACAGGATATATGAGAGAATTCTCAAGTTACTTTGCCCCTTTCCTCTCTGCAAACACTCAACTTCTGGTCTAAAGAACAGATAATTCACAGTACTCGAAACAATCCTGTGTTCTTGGTCTGTCCATTACCAGTTTCTAATTACTGCCAGTGCCTAGTTCGTTCTTTTACAGCTTACTCAGATATGAACACTGGATGAGAGATGCCATGTAAGTTTTCATATAATTTTAAAACTATGGAAAAGGACAGGAGTCATTTCATAAGACTCAGCCATTTGCACTGCAATATCTCCCAAAAAGGGAGAGAACAAAGAAAAGGGACAATGTCTACAAATTTAATAGAAATTTCAGATCTTTTGTGGATTAAAGGTGCAATACTACGGTATGGTAACTGCCAGCTAATGTTTAATTTTCAAAATTTTTCAACAGTGGTATAGTGAACAAGTGATAAGCTCTCATGATGTTAAAGACTTCCTTCCTATTATTATTTGTTCAGATGAAAATAACAGAAGAGGACCTATGGATTAGGACATACGCCAGACTGTATCAGAAACTTTGTTCTTCTACGGGAGATATTCCAATTGGAGTCTACAGAACAGAATCCCAAAAACTTACAACATCTGAGGTATGTCAGTTTATTATACTTTTTCTTTGGATTTGATTAAAGATACAACATGCTTTGGTCCTTGTAAGAATCTGAACCACTTAATAAATGAATATTGGAAATGCAATGTTTGCAAATGCACAGAATTCCAATAACTCACTACAAGTCTCCCTGCCTTCCCTCTGGCTACCTGTACATAGTCACATATACACATACACTCAGGCTTCAGGTTCAGACTTCATGAATACCCAGACCCTACATACTGACTTTTATTCTGGTGCTTATGCATAGGGAACTAATTGACCAGAGAGGACAGCTCAGGCACAGAAAAGACAAGTAATAGTTAGCTCTCGTCTGAACTTGTACATACCAACTAATGGCTATATCTAACAACCTGTATGATCAGGTCCTGTAGCAGGTATGACACAAGAAGGTTATCTTATACCCCAAGAGGTGGCATTTCAGTATTTATATGAATTTCTAACTAGAAATCAGCAACTAGAGAATAAATTAGTTTTACTAAAAATATTATGGAATCTCTCTAAATTCAGCTCCCAAACAATGGTAATTTTTGTGTATATATGTCTCCCATACATATGTATGTCTCTCCCAATACATATATAGGAGAATGACAAAACTACTGTGTTTCTTGACTATTTAACATACATGCTGGTGATGGGAACTTCTGCCAGAACCCACACACTAAGATTTTAATAACCCACTACAACTGTAGCTTACACTTAATTTTGTCTGACAGAACAAGGAGATTTTGAACTTCAAAAAAACTCAAATCCCAGATTACTTAACATTGTTTTAAAATGTTCACTCTGAATTGTCGCACTCTTATTCAGTTATCCTAAGTGGTTTTGCTTTTTACCAAGGGATTCTAATCCTTCTCACATTTCCTTCTCATTCATACTTGTTATCTATTTTCAACAAAACTAAACACTTCAAACATGTCCAACCCCTGTTCTCTGAGGTTCTGTAAATGCTTTTAAAACTGACTCCTGCCACATGGACACTGGCTTGCAAGTAGTACATATGAACTTCTGAATTTTTTCCTTATTTTTTTTTCATACTTACTCCTTTATCGACCTGTGATTTTTTTTCCCTTTTGCAGAAGCTTTCTCATTTTTAAAACTAAGTGCAAAGATGATTTGAGCTGTTTTAGCCTTACAGTGGCCATTGTTTATTTTGAAGTCATTAATTTCATAGCACGACCTTAAGCCATGGCTCAAATGCAACTGTAAATTACAACGCAGTGTAAGAAAACCTCTCTCTAAGCTTCTGAAGTACCATCTCAAATATAGTTTACCTGATTTCAAATACAGACTATTTTTATTTTCTCTTCTGTACTTCAAAAATTTTTATACAACTTTAAGTCACTAACTCCAAGCTTCCTCTTGAAGCAAGTACAAACATTCAGTTAAAGTTTATTTGAAAATAAGGATTACAAAAGCCTATGTAAGACCCTACTAAGTTCGCTATAGTCTTTCTCTGGGGAGCACCCGTAGCTCTCCAGGTGGCTTGTACTGCTCAGCCAGCGGTTTGTGACACTACAGCAGTGCCAGCTGATACTTTTCAGCACAGTAGTATTAGCATAATCCATCAAAATCACCCCTTGAAGAAGAATAAAGGCAGCATCGCTGCTAACATGAAAAAAATTAAAAACTGGCATAGCTTTCATCAAAGCAGAGGAGAAGCCAGATGAAGAATTCATTAAGCATGGATGAGTAAGCTATGTGATAGTAACCCTTTGTCCTCATGCTCATGGCTGGCTATTTAACTGCAGGTGCTACAAGTCAGAGAAACAGTTGAAACAAGCATACAACCTATTGTGAAGAACCCATTTGGTAGCCTTTTTCCCCCCCTCCTCTGTATTTTTTTGTGCTTTCAAACAAACATGGGAAATTCCTACTAGCTAACTGGCAAACAGCATCTATGCAAGGGAGGGGTAGTTGTGAGATGATTACTCATCTTTTCCACATTTTTTTTTTGTGGATGTAAACACATACTCAAATAGTTCTCCGAGGCAAGCTTCTTATTTTTCAGTTTAAACCTGGTAAACTAAACAGCTTTCAACTGCTTTTCTGAGAACAAATTCTGGGACCACCAGGCACCCGTAAAAGTTAAATGGCACTTAATTGTAAATTCATAATTTTACCATAATACTGCGAACCTCTGGAGCCCATAGCTGCATAGCTGCTCAAGTGTGTAAATACCTGATCAGACCAGGCCCAGATTTATTTCAAGATAACCAACAATTACCTTTTACAAAGAAGCAATTTCTTAAAACATTCAAATAGACACTGAAACCAGCCTGGAACCCAGAGATAAGAGGAGTCCTACTGTTAACTTATTACCAGGTTTCACAGGTAATCTAAAAGGCAGAGTTTTAACTAAATCAGAGGAAGAATTGGAATAAAAAGTCTCCTAGTTAAGTGTTCAAATTGTCAGGTATTAGATTAAAGGGGGTAAGAGCGGCACTGTCTTTGTTTATGAATTGAAGTCAAAGCATTTGGTAACTTAAAAATAAAGCCCACAGTTGTGAATGTGACCCCCATTGGTATTTTCCCACTCAGATGTTTCAGCAGCTTCTTGCTCTCAGAGTTGGCACTTGTGAAACCCTCCTAGCTCCAGGTAGCACAGGAGTATTGCCTAACCTAGTTCTTTCCCCAAAGAGTTAAAACTATCATACCTAGCTCTGCTTCTGTGATCTTTACAGGTAGATATCTACAAATGCCGAAAGCTGTAATCTTTCTGCAGAGTAATTCTTCCAATGCTAGAGAAATTTCCAACTAATTTAACTAGTAAAACAATATTGGCGTGAGCTATCATTTTAGCTTTTCAATATATTAAGCCAGGAAAAAAACATAACAAAACAAAACTTTAAAATATTGTAGGATGAGATCTTTAAAGTGGAGAGTTAGAGAAATTAGTTCTTAATTTTTCTCATGAATGATTCACCTTTAACTATAGTTTGACGGTTTCTAACTCAGTGAAGCTCCAAAGCTTATTTCAATTTGAGCTGAAATAGACATATCAAACAGTTTGCACTGGACATCTAGAGGTTTCTGGAAGCTGTCAGTTAACGGTTAACTCAAGTAGGAAGAGCAAAATATGCAAATATTAATATTGCTTTAGGTACAGGTTCTCCTTTGAAACTCCCTTTTTTGCATTAACCAAATCAGACGCCCTCATGTCACTCTGATAAAAGGATAGTTATTATTCCTTTAAAAAGAAAGAAAGTTTCCAGCAGTCTTGTTGCTAAACAACAAGCACATCTAACATGCCACTCAGTGACATGGTCATATGATTCACACTATTTCCATTTCATAAAAAAAGCAGATAAGAAATCTTCCTTATTAGTTGTGTAATTTATTTTCTGTGGTTGCTGTTAAACCGTCCATGTTTGCTCCTTTAGGTTCCCTTCTGTTTAAATTGTCTTTTGTTTTCTTTTCCCCCTTCCTTTGTCAGTCACGAGAAATGGCTTCACAAGTAAGTATTTGTTCACCATCTGCCCGTTTCCAAGGTAAATCCAGGGAGTAAAATTGTTACCAGTTTTAAAAAAAACAAATTGGATTAATATAGGCATTTTGTGACATCATACTAGATTAGCATCCAACTGTTGTTAGGCACACAGCAACGTGCTCACCTTTCAGTAGCACTTGCAGGAAATGGAACCATGTAACGGATCATCATCTTTGATTGAATACAGCTTAAAGCATCATTGTTCTTTACACAAAGATCTTAAGTAACTGAAAGCTGACAGATTGGGACTGTCAGAGAGGCCCAATGGAGTTAGGTGGCGTGTCCCTAGGGAATTCTAAATAAATTAAACAGATTGTCTTTAGTCTGCCGTAAATAAGAGCTAGTCAATCCAAAGGGGAAAAAAATTAATGTCTCCCTCACACTGTCAGACTTGCTCATGTTGAACTGTAAATTATGGACTCCAGGGAGCCTACAGATGAGGGGGGACAGGAGGAAGAAACAGGCCTCTTAAAGAAAGATTATATCCAGCACTGATGAGGACAACAGAATCTTGCCTTCAGAAGTTTGTTTTTTAAAATGGGGAAAGGCCCCTAGAACCTCAGGGATCAAAAAAACAGTAGCTCCTCATATAAAATTGCTTTGTTCACAAATCACTTCCAGCATATTGTAAGCTCTTCGTTCTTTGGATTCACATTAGCTGAACCAGCTTCACTTTTCACTTCAATTAAGCTTTGTTTTATAAGATTTTTTCAGGTTTGTTTTCCCCAACACACACACACTCAACCTAGTGAAATCGCTCATCAGTAACGTGCTAATATGACTGCACTGCTACCAGTGAGGACTCCACTATTTTTTATTATTTCAATATAAGTAAGAGACTTATATTTCAAAGATCACAGTGATAATTCAGCATTATAAAATAGTTTTGAAAATATAAGCTGAAAAATATTGGTTAAATCTGACAGTGAAATGAAAACAATTTTAAAGTTGTCTTCTGAAATATTTTGTTACATTCCCTATGTTCTTTTTGTATATAGTACAATTGCATATTGACTTATTTCCAATGTGTCTGTAGTCCACTGACTTATTTCAGTACTTCTGTATGTGTTTGTACAAAGTATGCTGTTGGTCATACTTGGGTGGCATGAAGAAACTACAGCAAAAGAGGGCCAGATATTAGCCCTTCTAAGTCTTTTTGTTGTTGTTGCTACAATGGTGAAAAAGCAACATAACTTTGCTTGCATGTAGGAACTACAGATTACCTCCTTTGCAAGGGGTGTCCCAAGTCATACTGAAAGCTACAACATACCTTCCTATGAGCAGACACACAGGCTTTCCATAAATCAGGCACTGGGAAGTCAAAAATACTTGGGAATTGGAGAAACAGGTAATGCTTCCATCTGTGGTTTTAAACAGGGCACTCAAAATCTTGCAAAGTTGAACTGTTACTTAATGAATCCACAATATATTTCTAAAAGCAAGTTATATAATTTGAATTTCTCAAAACACGCAATTGATTCACAACAGGTCCTTAGATTTAGGAAATGCAGTGTAAGAAGGCTAGAATCCTTATTTTCAGAATCAAAATGTAATAAAGCACCAAGTAATGCCTAACTGATTTTGCAATTGAGAAATATATTCACATTATAAGTGAGTACTTTACATAGCAGGTCAGTGTCTCTAATACAGGATGCCCAGTTCAGCCATGCTTGCTAAGCATCAGCAGCTGAATCTCTTCAGCTCCACTGTAACCAACACACATGTTCAGCTGCCCTACTGAAAAGGGGAGAGAGTATCTTTTTGTTTCCATTTTTAAAGTCCCTCATCCATCCTGTCATTTTCCTTTCAAGTCTCAAATCTCTATCAGTGTGGAAGAATGGGAAGACACCAAAGAACAAATTAATTATCGCAGTAATCATCGTAACTCAACATCTAGCGACCAGTCGGATCACCCTTTGTTACGACGAAAAAGCATGCAGTGGGCCCGACGGCTGAGCAGAAAAGTCCCAAGACACTTTGGTAAAACAGCAGAGAAGATAAGTCAGCAGCGAATGAACCTTTACAGGAGGTCAGAAAGGCAGGAACTCGCTGAACTTGTGAAAAACAGAATGAAGCACCTGGGCCTTTCTCCAGCAGGATATGGTATGATTGCTACAATACTTTAAATTAATAAAAACATTACTATTATGCCAGACGAACTTATTGTTAATTTTCTACAGACTGAGGCTGCCATATACAAAACACTAAGTTTATGGTAATGCTTTTATGTTTTTTGCTGAGAAAAACTTGATAGATTTTTTTTTTTTTTTTAAACCAGTTCTACTGTGGTCTATTCCTATTTTCAGATGAAAAACTCAAGAGACTGCATATCACATGCATATTTTCATGGGATATGTATAAGCTGAATATATAAACATCCCCCTGTCAGTGAACAACTGTGCCATATTCCCACAAACACACTGAAATATAGATGAAGGCAGAACTTTTGTGACATTCACTCATATATTGGGTTGGGGAGCTGGTCATATGTGAAGGATATTACATTTTTCCCTTGATCTTTTAAAAAAATGAAGCAAAAATTGTCACATTAAAGTCATTTTTTTAAGCATGTTTCACTAGGTCTCTAGGTGCTGTTTGCATCCAATAACTCATTTTCCAACAAAGCTGATGCTGTCTTTTTAAAGCTACTGACAGAGTTCTGGAACATCCTTTTTAATATATGCAAACATAGTTGCCCAGCAACTGGATCAAAAGAGTTATAAGCCTAGAAGGCATAAAAAGCCACAAGTCAACATATATCATGTCTGTTATTTACTCTTAAGTCATACTATCAGAAAATTGGTCACAATATGCATCTTATCTTAGACATCCTTAATGCAAAGTTTAAGGAACACATAATTGCTCTGGAATTATTTGATTAATGAAAACAAGGAATGGAAACAAAAACAAACAAAAAACCCCACAAGATTGATGTTTTATCTCCTTTTTCCAAAAGGAGTTTGTATTTTGCCTGTTACCTGGATTTTCTTAACAGCATAGTTGCACAGTTTGCACCAGACCTAGTTACTCCTAGAGAAATTAAAAAAAAAAAAAAATCCTGCTCAGCTAGACTTGGAGAACACCAGCTGAGGGGAACCTGGTTCATCACATTTTGGAGTCTTAAGAGGAGAAGGAGAGTCTCCTAATACTTGTTTTTTGAAGAAGTCAAATACAAAATTAAAAGTAATTTACTTTAAAGTTACTTTTAAAAGTAACCACAATATATTGTGGTTTTATGTGGTGTATGTGGTTGTCTCAACTACAATTTAGTAATACAAGATTTTACAAATAACACAGACCTCTGTAAGCTAAGAAATGGTTTACATTTGGATAACATTTCATAAGGAAAACTTTCATCTTCAATTCATTTGCATTTGTATTTACATATTTCCTGGGTCCATAATCCACCATCCTCATAGTAGCATGCAAACACGTTCAAGTTATGCTTTAAGAAACACCAAACTACACACTAGTTGTAGCTTTCTGTTTTCTCATTGTTTCAGAAAAAGAAAGGCATGGTTTATTTTAATAAATCATAAATAATTTTTATTTAGATCTGTTTGATGGAGGTGTAATGCTGAAATGCCCTCATGCAGAAGAAGGGAGAGACAGAGATGCAAGATCTGTGACAGCTCTTAGTATCTGTGGAGGTTCATTCCACAGATTTACTATTTGCGCTTGTATTTTAAAAGATATAATTCAAGCTTAAAGTGGGAAACTATGAGATTATCCAAAGTGTTATTCTGACCTGGAAAGTTACCATAAAAATCCTCAAAGAGCACCATTTTCCATTATCCACTATCACATTCAACTACAAATAAAACAAGCCCTTATATGTTAGTGTATGGCCTAAGAGTTATCCAAGTTCTGTCTAGTTTATTCAAATCAAAATGCAATTAAAGTTGCTGTCACTGACTGTACATACCAGAACACAGTTCCATCTACCTTTTGCTTTAGATTCATTAGTGTCCACAGAGCTCGCTGAAATAACCAGGGACAACTCTACTGAATAAGAGAATGTAAACATGAGAAGGAATACATATACACATGTAACCTGTTTTCAGGGTAGTTCTGCATTATATAACAATCTTTTCCCTGCACTTTAACTGGATAATTACTAATCCCACTTACTATCCCCACTGTATGGCTCTCTGCAGGAACAATCAGGGATAAATATTTTCCAGAAGCGATACAGACCCCAATAACATTTCATCAGCCACAGGAAAGTGTTGTAAACTTGATTCATACTTATATGAGTCACAAGAAAGCTTTGGTGGATCCCTGCTTTTCTTTTAAAATCCTAGTTAAAAGCCAACAGTAAATTTTCATGTCATTTTTCAAATTCAATTCACTTCTACACCACCTGCAGAATAGCAAAATCTTGACAGGCAGACACTTGCTTCACCTAATGACATTTATCTGCAATAGTTCTCGTTTAGAAGTTTTCATCATCACTTTCCTGTTTTCTTACAGATGTGTCTCATTGTAGAGAAAGCTTCTACTTTGACCACCCCAATAACACCCGCAGTCTGCGCATGGATCAGTTTTACACATTCAGTCAGCTGCGGGCCTGGGCCCCCACGTTCCCAGGGCCATCCTTCTGCCTCCATCACATTCAGTACAAAATTACATTAGCTTTTCACCCACTTTTAGAGCTAGCTCACTCCCTACTTATTCCACTACATTTTAAGCACAAGTTGAAAACTTTTAAATCTCCCTGTTTTTTCAAACTGGCAGGAATGATGCCACTTAGCTCCCTGCAGGAGCTGCACATGCTCCTTAATACTCTCTCCTGGCAAGTGCTGGGAGTGATGAAAAACAAACGGGGAAAGAACCACAGCCCCTTACGTACCTGCATGTACTGGCATGATCTCGGAAAACCAATCTCCTTAGTCTTCAATGTTCTTTACACTGAGTCTAATAACCCCAAGACCTCCAATTTTAAATTACATTAACTCCAAACTCATTTAATTCAGCCTAGACACAGTATATTGTTGGCAGTACAAACCTCTAGTAGAGGCATAATTATGCCAGTGTAGTGGTACACGGGCTTGCAACTTGTTACAATACTTTGCATCAGGATAACCTTACAGCAATAAGCTGTAACGTAAAACACCACTTCAGGTGTATAATTGCATCCATACTAAGAGTCTACATGAGTTTTCCTGATTGTTTTCTAGGCAGATATACTTATGGTGGTGAAAAATACGTGATACAAGCATGCATAAAAAACCCACACACTAGAAGACATTCAATACAGTAATTCTCAACCAACAGACAGACTATCAAGAATACTTCAATTGCAAAAAATGTTAAGATGCTGATGAGAGACTAGCATGGAAGAAAGGGCCCCCCCCCCAACTTCTTTTTTTAAAGACTGACCAAATTAAGATTAGTCTCATTGCAACGCTTCAGGAAACATACCAAGAGAAAAGCTAAGTAAAAAATATTGAAATGATAGCTACAGTGCAGTAAGACACTATTGTACAAGACCTACAACATACTCATGACAAGATCTACTTCATTTGCAATATACCATTAGAAGAATGGTTAAAAATAACGAAAAAGAAATACTAACTTCTGTTTATACAGTTTTTACCCTTCAACCCATTGCCATAGGTGATAAAAGGAAAAGGGCAACATCACTTACTTGATCCATAGGGAAAGTGGAGGAAAAAAACGTATAGCGGCCAATTTGTGAAAGCGGATGGGAATGCCATACAACTGCGTTTAGCTTTGGCTACCACTTGGACTCAATTCCAGCTGGGGATGAAAATCCCTACTTCCCGCATACTAACATAAGCTACATGACAGACTTCGATTAAACTGAAAGAATGTTGCATTAAGAATTGCTACGAGTGTAAAAAATGCAAAAGAACATTTTTTAGAACATTCAGAAAGAAAACACATCTTATGAGCTATTGTAGGTCACTAAGTTAATTTCTCATTCCTGTATTCTTGAGGCAAAGATAAGGAAGAAAAACCATAAATGAAAAACTGAAGCTCTGGCACATGCCAGAAACATCCCCAAAACACCACAGTTCTGCAACATTCACAGCTTGGCTGTCACATTCTCAGGCACATTTCCTTCTCTGTCACCAGCAGCATCCTTCTCTCTAACTCACCTTCAAAAATCAATGCCTCCTTACAAATTCTGCTGCATGTTAAAGATGGGAGAGAAGCTTTAGTTTCCCTGTTCCTTCAAACCCATAGAAATAGCTGTTGAAGCCAAGCATGCTCTTTTATAAGAGATGAAAAATAAGAGGCGTGTCAAGTTGAAGAACATTTTTATACTGCTTACACAGATAAACTGCTGTGAAATGACGATAATACGTTCTTCACCTGCAAAAGTATGTGTTCCATAGAACTTAACTGCCTCCCCAGGTTCTGGTGTGAAGAGCAACATGAAGCAAGAGAAACCTGTACTGAGGTTTTTGAAAGCAAACACATATGATCCTGCTTCAAGCAGGAGGCTGACAATATGACCCCACAAGGTACCTTCCAGCCTGAATTATCCTAATCCTAGATCATTATCCTTTTTTTTTTTGTTGTTCTAACTTGGACCAACATAAGGATTATAATTGGGTTCTGAATCCAGTGCAGCCTGCTCTGTGCTGCTTTTGCAGATGGTAACCTGCTGCACTGCCTAAGGGACTACTGCGTTATTCCAGAGCAGTGTCTAGGTAGCCACCAAATCCTCATGCTGCAACTACCTTTAAAGTACATTCCACAGGTCTCAAGGATTTTAGAAACTCTTCTGGCATTCAATGACTTAAAAGCAGGATTCCCAAAGATCTGGCTCTGCCTTCAAATTCGGTGGAACTGTTCCTGGTTGCTGACAACATGTATTTCTTCCACAGTGATGATGCACTGTTGAACTTCCTTGATCACAGCAAGGAAGCTGGTCAGAGTGTCTATTCATTTTGCAAAAGCACAGTTTTCTTACCACGTGGAGCTGAAAGGCCATACTTCTAGTATGTGCTATAGTATATCAATACAGATTTAATTCAGCTTTGAATGTGGCATTGAGATTGTACTTCTGACTACCAGCGGATTGGCACTGAAGAATGACTTTCAATATATGCCATCACCACTCTTAAGTTTAAGCTTGCCTTGTACAGCTAAGGAATGTTGAATGCTTTCACTGTTCCAGATATTTACTTGCTCCATTTCATCATAAACATTCACAGAAGAATATAGTTTATTAAAAACATTTTAACATCTTAATTCAAAACATTTTATCATGTCGATATCAGTCAAAGCTTTGGATTCTCTTAGGCTTTTCAACATAGGCATCCCCTGTGGCTGCTTAGTATCGAGGATTAACTTTACCAGAGTAGCCGATGAAACAAACAATGCGACTTACTAAAGGGCTTTAGGGACATCTTAATAATTTTGCACATCAGCTATTGCTTAGAATCACAGGCTCAAATCCTAGCCATCTTCGTGCTTCTTCAACACCACCAGTATATTTTATGAGCATCTTTTGGCTGATCTGTTTAGTCTCAGATCTCTGTACAGACCGTAGGAAACTCACAATGCTTATATTTTAAAACAGTACTAACATCAGAGCAAAGTGATGTTGACAATGTATTAACCGTTCCAAAGGACGCTATCACTGAATGATATTGTATGCATGTAATTTATGATGGCTGCTACATAAATCTCAAAGCATAACTTCGGGAATCAAAGATGCACCTAAAGAGTGGCAAGGACAACATATTTCGGATATAAAACTTTCCTTCAGCTATTTTAAAGTTCGTTACTAAAGTGAAAGCATTTTTGAGGTAAATGTAGGATCATTGCCTATGATAGTGAGACTTGATATTTTGAGATTTGATATACTTGAGATTTGAGATTGTAAGAGCTGGTAACTCAAAAGATGCTATGGCAGCTTGTTCCAATGCAAGTACAGTTGAAAGAAAAAAATCAAAAAACTTATCTGATCACTTTGACTGACATCTGACACTGTTTTTGACAACTCTATGAACCAGAGACAATCTTCCATCAAATTAGTTTGCCAGAAGTGATAATCTCGACAACTTCTTTGTAAATAATATAATTAATCTGGTATCTCTTTTTTTTCTCCAGATGAAATGAATGATCATCAGAACACCCTCTCGTACATCCTGATCAATCCTTCTCCAGATACAAGATTAGAGCTGAATGTCATAGTGTAAGTTAAAAAAAAAAAAAAAAGACTTGAAGTTTGTTTGCACTTTCTACCTGAGTTTTATTTTATTTAATACCGTCCTGCTATAAGAAAATTGTACCTGCAAAACAATAATTATTAAGATGGAGACTTTATTTAAACAGACATTAGATTATATTTTTATATATAGTGTGTGTTTATGCATATATATACATAACTATTTTTTCCTCTAGTAATCCTTTGTCCTCCATATTCTCTGGTGCTTCCTCCTCTTACTTTGTGTATTAAAAAAAAAATCCAAGTATAAACAAGTCTGCTGGATAGCTTCACAGAATTAATATTCTCATTAGATTCTTGCTTATAATTTAGCTACCCAGTCTTAAGAGAAAGATCAACCCTTCAATTAGTGTTTTTAAAGATTACTTTTAACGGTCTTTGAATCCATAAAGGACAATCAGCAGTCTTCCTGTGAAAATCATGCGTTTAATAGCCTAAGATATTTCAAACACAAGTGGCAGGACCTAAACACAGGAAACATTTCTTTTCACTTACTTACCAGGAATTTTGCAGAGTACATGAAAAAAATAGGTGAACACAAAGTTTGAACTGGTCAAGACTTTCAGATGATTATCTGGCATTCTCACATACTGAGGTCTGATGTGACTGCTACAGTCAGGGCCTGACAGCTTGACCCTCATGATATAGGGTCAAATAGGCTTTAAATACCATTTCTGTCTCCTGCTTCTGCCTCGCTATACTACTATATGCCATCTGCTCCATGAGAAGGAGACCACCTAGCCCAGTTGTACAAGGGGCTACGCCTTTGTTTCCGTGCTGACCCATCATGCTTCCTATTCACAAGGAGGAAAACTGTTTGACCTTAGTAGTTTGATCCGAGTTATACCAATGCTTTTTAAAAAAAAAACACACACACACACAGACCACACACACACCCCCCACACCACCACCAAAGGAGTACTACTACTTTGTACTACTGTGGTATTTGAGAAGCGTAGCATAATGATGACTGTCAAACAGTAAAGGAAGTTATTATAAGACCTGCTGAAATGACTTGAAATAGTATTTTCACTGCTATGGAACCCCCCAGTATGATGTGTACTCAGACATAACCTGTAAACGCACATACTGTTACTTGAGTCTGATGTGTGTTTGTTCCTTAATGCTTATTGAGACTGGACTTCACAGCTGGCGTGTTTCAGCTGAGACTTCAGTTTTTTAAACTGACACAAAGAATATGATATTGGTATATGGATAATACTTAATACTTCAATTATCCAGATCATTACTTTGCTTGATCATAGTTCTTGCAAAATGAGGCAGCCACTTCACCTTCAGGCAATGGAAGATTATTAGCAGAAAGACAAGAAGGAAAATACTGTTCTCTTTCTACAGAGATTTTCCCTTAGTCACAAAAACGCCATGCAGGTAAAAGGCTGCTTCTTTTTAATCCTTCCTACCTACAAGCTGGCACACCAGGCTGGGCTTGCTATGCCTCCCCATCCCTCGCAGTGCATTTTCCAGATTTCTTCCAGCAGGTTACTCTTTCATTAATCTATCTTGTTAGAAGATTGAGTTAAGTCATGTTGATCTAAAAATGCAATCTAAATCACATTTCTGTGCATATCTATGATAAAGTACATACTTGTGCTTTTAAGTGCTAAAAACATAACTTTCATTCTCCGATTTCTCAAACCTACATTCCTTTTTACAAGTCTTTAGCATTCAGTATGATCACATTATACTTGTAATTTATTGTAGTTATATTAAATAATGTACAGATTTGAACTAGCATATGAGGAAGTGTCACAGTCAATGGTAGGGAAGGGGAATGAAGTTTAGTCCTTTCTGAGCATTTAGAGCGAGGGTGCACATGAAGCAGCAATTCCAGCTTTCCTCAGAAAGCTTTCTTGTTAGCCTTCACACTTCAGAAGCTACTGTTTAAAATCCATCAGTTCAAGATGCTGAAGAACAGTGATCTCACTACCTTTATCACACAGCTAAAAAAAAAAAAAAGCATTATGTTTCAAGTAATATGCAGTTAAGGCAAAATCTGAACATATTTCATCTAGCCTACATTTCTTAAGAAGCTGGTACTCTACAAGCATGAAATTTTTGCCCTAAACCATTTGCAGTTTTGCCTCTCAGCAGAGCATGATATTCTTTTTCTCTACTGTGAATAGCAGTTTAATAACTGGAAATTGTTTTTGCAGTAACACTCTTCATTTTCTTTACTTCTAGGATTAGTCCAATACAATCTATTGTGAGTACTAGCCTTCTCATTAGTGTTTAAAACACACACACACACCCTACTAGCTACTTGCTGCTTTTACTGTTGGCACCTTTGCCATGCTTTTCTTCTGGGGATCAACACCGTCCTTGTTTGTAATGGGCTTGGTGTTGACGATGCTCTAGAAAAACAGCATCAAACGGACAGCTGCAATTTCAGTTACAAGAGTTGCAACTGAGGGGTCCAGGTTTCAGCAATCTACAGTAACAGCCACACATCAGCAGTCGCTCATCCAATGCTGTTCCAGACATGACGAGAGGACAAAGATGATCACTAGATTTGGCAGCTGTAAGGAGTCCCATTATAAACCCTCAGGAGTCTAGCAGCTGTTGACCAAAACAGTCAGGCTTCTCACAGTTTTATTAAGGCTTATATAAACTCAAGTAATCTTGTTCACTTATACTTTATGGATTACTTATTATAGAGTTATTTGTGATTCAGAGCCTGAGTTACTTACTCTAGGTACAAATCTGTGTTTTGGTTTAGTGTAAAAGAAGAAATTAAAAAAAAAAATCTGAATTTTTTCCCAAAGTCTAAGAAAATTCTATTATATTTTGTTTTGGAGAAATAGGTTGAAATTTAGTTTCCCAGGCCCTTCAAATTTCACTTTTTCCTTAAACTTGCTCCATTGTCTTAAGTGAGTAAAGATATAGGCAAACTGTAACAGCTCACTGTAACTATGCCTGAACCTAACTGAATATTAAAGGAGCTATAAATGTGAACAAGGGACGACAGTCCATTTCTGAGTCACCTGGTCTCATATTCAGAGAAATCAAACCATTGCATTGGTACTCCCTGCCTTGCATACTTGCTGGTACAGCAAGCCACTTCATTGTCCTACCTACCTACACCGGAAAGTATAATATTAATCATGCAAGAAAACAAGATTATTTTTTCCATGTTTTTAGAATAGTCTTCAATTTGGATTTGACAAGTGTATTGCTCTGGAATAGAGCAGACTCTTCCACAGCTCAATTTCATTGCTTCTGGCCAGCAAAATAAACAGGAGTTTGCCAGTTTCATTTAAGAAGTGCTAGGAAAATCTTGAATAAACTTAGATGTCAAAGGTTATAAAGTAAGAGTAATAAATCTTGTTCATTAAGCAAATAGACAGCAGGAGAACATGATTTAGACATAAGTGGATTTGTGAGTCAACTTCCTTTCTCTTTCTTTTTGTTTATACAAAAAGGTCAGACTATTTGATTGTAGCAACAAACTCTATAGAGAGAAAACAGTTATTCAGTTTTAGCCAGGAACAAAAGCAGAAACACTATCAAAGTAATAAGAGGCAGGTGGTCTTTCCAAATCACGGAAATGAGGATCGATTCTCTTGGGTACCCACCATAAAGCCAATGCCATGAACAGCAGTTCCATGGGAAACACGGCAATGGCTGCTTGCACACTTTTAGAATGTGTTAGTTTCAGTTAATAATCAGCATTTTCCAATTCACTTTTTCGTGAGTATTTTTGAGTGTTTTAATTAGCAAACTGAGGAAAACAACGCTCTTTTGATACTGAATGGTAGAAGTTCATAGCCTTTTTTAGAGGCTATTTCTTCAGAGCTACTAGAAAAATACTGCAAAACTTTGCAAGTACCACACAGACTTCTAGTTCCTCTATCATAGCCTACAAATAATCAGAAAAAGTTCTCATTCACTGTAGAACCAGAAAGTGCACAGATTACACAGTGCATGCGCACTACAAACACTAGGACTTTCATTTCGTTGAGGAGGACAGAGACACACATAGCACCAACATTTTCCAGGATGTGAGAGAGGATTCTTTCACATTTCATTTTCTTGCATTTCATTTTCCTTTCTTCGCAAAAACTGATCAAAAACAGGACTTGAAAATAAAGTTTTCACTGCCTTCAATGTTACTGCTCATCTTTGGACAAATTTAAAATACTGGGATCAAATCTAGCCAGTTGTCTTCTCTTTATGAACACAGTGGTTTGGGAAAGCACTGGCTGATGGTCCAGAAGACTGAAATATATTAGTCTACAGTAGCATGAGACAGCTACTGAGTCAGTGCCAAAACAGGTGGTCTCAGTTTAGATAGTTTCTCAATGGAGACAGCTGACAAGACAGTACAGAATTTACACTGACAAATTAATGGGAAGCTCCTCCATCCTTAGATCCTAAGGAAAGTGATTTGAAACATTATGTCATGAACTTAAACTCATGAGTCATTTTGCTTAAGGATTCAGACCTACTAGAAGTTCTTTGTCAGAGTAAGGGTCCATCTCCATCAAGCTTACCAACACTGTGGGTTTTTTTT